GAGTATAGGGAGTTTTTGATTACCCTTGCGAGGAGGAATTATCGATTTAAATTAAGAGACGAGAATGGTTTTTTATGTCCATTCAATGGGGCGCATATAAATATACCAGAAGAAAACTTTAGCAACCACTTAAATTCATGCAGTATTAGATACAATGGACCATTCGAAATGACAACTTGTATTTATTCAACAATGCACGTAGTTCCTAACTTTTATAAAGATAAGCACGAGCAGGAATGTTAGGAAAATTGGGACAACGAACCATATGTGTCTACTTATGCTCCTGGTCCGGAAATGGCTGAATTTTGGAGACAGAAATACAGAGCCGAGAGAAGTATCGGCTACAAAAGACTTTATTACTAATTCAAGACGTTAATTCACTGCAGTTATAAGTGGTCCTACAGGGTCTGGAAAGTCAGTATTTGTAAAGAAATTGATACAAAATAAATATTTCGATAAACCGTTTGATAATATTTTATGGTGTTACGGTGAATACCAGCCACTCTTTTCAGAATTAAGAAAATCTATTCCAAACATTTCTTTTATCAAGTGAATTTTTCATTAGTGCAAGTGAAAGAAAATGAGTATGGATGAGAAGTTGAGAAAAGAATATTACGATCCGAAATATCCAGGCAGTTTTGGAGGTGCAGATCGACTTTATCAGAACGTGAAAAATGAATTAAACATAACTAAAAAGCAAGTTCAAGAATGGTTAAGCAGACAAGACACATACACTTTACATAAACCTATTCAACGTCATTTCCCGAGAAATAGGGTATTTGTAACAGAAGAAGATATAAGAATTGCATGCAAACTCGCCGTTTTTGAAATATTAAAACACGGTCGGCTAGGAATGGAAGATCGCAAAAAAAATTTAATAATCATGCGGAAGAAAGATCAGAGGTTATTTGTTTTATTTATCCCCGTTAAAATACACTGTATAAACTAATTTTTATATTTATTTATTTTTTTTGTAGCCTAACAACGGAAAAAAGAGACCCTATAATGAATCTGAAGATGATGATGATGATGAGCAGGAGGGAAACAGGGGTAATAAAAATTTTAATGTCAGTGAACTGTGTCATATTACGAAACTTAGTGATAAGTATAATAAGAAATTTAATTTATTTGCTAGAGATTATTTAGTTACTTTAGTAGGTTTAGGTAATTTTATGATATTAGAAATTATACCAACAATTATTAGGATTTTTGATTATGTTATAGACATTCTATGGTTAAGTAAGTTAGTTATAAAAGCAAATGGATTAGACATTCTTTACCATTTTGTTTGAGGGAGCACCTAACGCCCGAAGTTCTACAATCCCACATGAATATTTTAGTGGGGATGACCTTTGAATTAACATCCTTCATATTCCTAGGCCAATTGGTGGCGGTAGTCTTAAAGAATGTTACTTAAAAAAGGGTATAATAAAACAAAGAAAGGTGCTCGATGTTCAATTAGAATTAAGAATGAGAACGACGAGAATATTTGTCCATATTAACCATGCACGAAATGGGGGAGTTTATGGTGCGTCTTTTGACCCTAAAATTATTTTCAAATTTATTGGGTGTTTGTTTCACGGATGCCCTAAATGTTATAGACCAGATTCCAAAAATCCCTTGACAGGTATTTCAATGTCTGAATCCTATTTAAACTCGAAAGTCAGAATACCTGAAAGCAAATCCTCCCCCTATTCGATTATGTCGAAATCTGGGAATACGAATGGAAAGCAATTAAGAATAGCTTATCCCCTCTTCTATGATACAGACAGTACTATTTTCACAGTTAAACCTAATGAATAGGAATCACCGTTAGGAGATATCTTGGAGAGTTAACTAACGAAATTGACTCAAAGCATGGGAATTTTATTACTCAATTTGTTTCAGGGGGACCTAACAATTATGCCTACAAACTTAATACAGCCAAGACAGTATGTAAGGTTAAGGGTCTTACACTTAACTATATGAATACCAAATTGGTAAACTTTGACGAAACGAAAAAGCTAGTGTGCACCGTAGTAGATAGACCAACCATTAAGGTTGACGACAAATAAATTACAAGGGACTTGAAAAGGAGGAAACTCTTTACTGTAAATAGGCAAAAAGATTATACAATAAATTTTACGACAAAAGAATTGTATTTCCAGATTTCGATACCCTCCCATATGGTTTCGCGTGGAAATACTTTGATTGGATTTTTGTTGTTGTTATAATCAAATATTCTATTGAACCCTCAAAAGATTTGTTTCAACCTGTACTACCATATAGAGTAAACAATAAATTATTTTTTCCCCTTTGTTGTACTTGCACTGAGGAACTATTCCAAACAGGTAGGTACAGAAGATACAGAAAGCTGTACAACTCAGATACTAAATTAAATCGATCCAATGTGTTTAGAATTTCAAGGAAAGATCTAAGTCAGGAAGGATTCGGGATGCCGTGATTGGTGTAAAACTGATGATGATGGGGAAATCTACTTTGAAAATTATTGGGAGGATGACCAACATTTAAGTATAACCCTGTGTTACGTTCCCTATCTAAAGTAATGTTTAATAGTTTCTGGGGAAAATTTGGGCAAAGGGAGAGATAACAAGTAACCAAATTATATACCCTCTTTAATATACTGACAGATCCAGCCTTGTGTGTTAACAACGTAAATTTTTACAGCGACAGCATAGTTGAAATAACATACTATTACTGACGACCATATCCCCTTAGCCAAGACAGTATGTAAGGTTAAGGGTCTTACACTTTACTATATGAATACCAAATTGGTAAACTTTGACGAAATGAAAAAGCTAGTGTGCACTGTAGGAGATAGACCAACCATTAAGGTTGACGACAAATAAATTACAAGGGACTTGAAAAGGAGGAAACTCTTTTAATACTGTAAATAGGCAAAAAGATTATACAATAAATTTTACGACAAAAGAATTGTATTTCCAGATTTCGATACCCTCCCATATGGTTTTGTGTGGAAATACTTTGATAGGATTTTTTTTGTTGTTATTATTAGTAAATGTTCTATTGAACCCTCAAAAGATTTTTTTTAACCTGTACTACCATATAGAGTAAACAATTAATAGGTTATTTTTCCCCCTTTGTTGTACTTGCACCGAGGAACTATTCCAAACAGGTAGGTACAGAAAAGATACAGAAAGCTGTACAACTCAGATACTAAATTAAATCGATCCAATGTGTTTAGAATTTCAAGGAAAGATCTAAGTCAGGAAGGATTCGGGATGCCGTGATTGGTGTAAAACTGATGATGATGGGGAAATCTACTTTGAAAATTATTGGGAGGATGACCAACATTTAAGTATAACCCTCTGTTACGTTCCCTATCTAAAGTAATGTTTAATAGCTTCTGGGGAAAATTTGGGCAAAGGGAGAGATAACAAGTAACCAAACTATATACCCTCTTTAATTTACTGACAGATCCAGCCTTGTGTGTTAACAACGTAAATTTTTACAGCGACAGCATAGTTGAAATAAAACATACTATTACTGATGACCATATCCCCTTAGTTAAGAAAGGTGTGCTGGTTCCATTGATATCAGGCTTAAACATTACGAAATCTTAGATAAACTGCAAAGAAGAATGCTCCACTACAATACAGACAGTATCAATACAGACCCTGGTATCATTTTCACCAATAAACCCAAAGAATGGGAATCCCTGTTAATAGGTGACTACCTAGGGGAGTTAACCAATGAGACTGATATAAAGGAGGGGAATTTTATAAAACAGTTTGTCTAAGAATTATGCCTACACCGACAAGACAGGGGTACGAATGCTAACTTTACATACTAACTACATGAATACCAATTTGGTAAACATCAATTACAGTAGATGAAAAAGTTATTGTGTACCGTAAAAAATTGGCCAATCATTAAGGTTGATGACAAACAGGTAGTTAAGGATGCGAAGAGAAAACTTTTCACTGTAGAAAAAAAGAGTATAAAATTTATTATTGTAAAAGAATTTTTTAGTTTACAGGGGCTAGGGAAGCATCTAGGTATATTGGTGATGCAGGAGAGTCCACACAAACTTCTCAACTGCTAAAAAATGAAGAAAACAGTAATTTAAACTCTAGATTGAGCTCTGTTTTAAAGCATAGAAACTAAGGATTTATCGCTAGGGATTATCAACTTAGGTTTAATTTCAAGGCAACTGAAATCATCTTTTACACTAACGAGTCCCATTTTAACTAAAAAGGGGAAAGGCAGACACAAAAGACTATTCAGGATTAAGAATGTTCCTACAAAGTAATGTTGGATACCAAAAAAGGATAAACAGAAGATTACCTATTGAGCGTGGGATTTAAGGAAAACAGGCTGCTCCCCCAAATTTACTTAACTCTGTCTACATAGAAAATTACCTATTGTTCAAAGGATTTCAAGGCAAAAAGGTTGTTTGCTCATTAAAAAGTTTTGATACAAAACATGGCTAAACGGAAAAATCATCATAATGGGAAAAGGTGGAAAAAATGGTGGCTACGCCCCCTTTCCTCAAAAACTTAAATACAATTTCCAATTTTAAAATGAAAATAAAAATCAATTAAAAGTATTTCAGTTAACGATGTAAGTGTATTTAAGATAATTCAGTTTAGTTAATGTTGTTAAGTTTCTTACAGTCTATTTACTGTAGCACTTTTAAAAAAAATTCTGTTTTTAAATATTCAAAATTATGTATCTCATCGACTGCTTTCGAGTTTTTCATCAAATGTGCTTTTTTTAAAAATCAGTTCTACAAAATATCTAAAAGAAAAAATGTGCCTGGCTTTAAATGGAAATATTAATATTATGACAGCATGGTAAACTAGTTTTGCTTTATTTTTTTATGGAGTTTCCACAAGCTTACAAAAATGATAACGAATGTGGTTACGTCTGTCATCAAATGTTTAGACAACCCTCCCCCTATAGTAGCATATTTGTCAATGTAGGCAATTCATGCCTTTTGCATGAATCAAGAATCATATTTAGCTTGTACAGCATATTTTCAAGTCTTTTTTAGGCACGCATCACGATAATGAAGATACTGACGTATTCATATTCCTTATCATTCTCGTAAGGTTGTGAAATCTCCCTAATGTGGCATAGAATTCTGTAAAATAATAGTTACATTATTCGAGGTTCAGTTATTTCCTCTTATCTGCTTTCTTATCTGCTTATCACAAAATATAAATAATAAAAAGATGACATAAAAGACTGCATAGCCCTATCAAGTAACTGACCATAATTTCGCAATAGTGTATATTGGTTTGCAAGGGGAACTTATTTAATCATTATTTAAGGTTCAACAAAGAATAAAAGAAAAAATTGACGATTGCCATACCATCTAGAATTACATCAAGGTACATGAAACACAACACGATACGAAAGGTTGAATTCAATTGGATGACGAATCAGTGTCGAAAGATGCTAAAAAACCCAACAGTGAATAGGAAAATGCGGATTAAATGTGAACTATCTCAGGATCATTGAGACTGCAAAAAACAAAAATAAACATAAGGTAAGGTAATAAATACAAGCAATTTTTATATAGGTTTATAAAAATAGCACGAATGAAAAGTAGAAACATAACAAAAAGAAAATCACTTACATTAACTGTGTTAAATATAACAGTCGCTTCTGTATACTCTTCATCAATGGTTTAATCTGAATGCCAGTTTGTGTCATCTACGGTTGCCAATTTCTCTCTACTCATATCTTTATTGTCGAAACAGTTGAATGTTGGAAACTTGTCTACCAGCTATATCTGTTATCGAGACAGAGAGAATAGTGTACTAACAAACCAAGAAACTTGCAATATTTATTTTAATTATTTGAACTTACACCTTTAGATTGGTGGCACTCAATGACAACTGGTGCATTCGTAAATAAAAAGGTACAAACTTAACTCAACAAACACATAAAAAGGAAAAATAAGTATATAAAAATATACATAAAAATATACATATAAACACACAAAAACAAGTAAAAATCACAGAAATGATAGAGCAGATAGTATATACTATAGCAGATATACTGTAATATTATATTAAGACTGTTTTCCACTACCTTAGTCAAAATTCACTCAGAATAAAAATATAATAGGAATAATCTTCTTTACTGTTTAGGACCAATAAGAGCAAGAACTGATAACTTCCAGTATTGGCAATGTAGATCAAAGTTAATTCTTTTTCCTGCACTAACATATCCAGCAGAAAATTAAACCCTGCTACAAAAGAAGTAATTAATGGAGTAGATATAGAAAGAAAATGCCTATGTTTATACCAAAATAATAATAATAGAATAAAACTTACCAAACCTCATTGGGCTTTGATCCAATTAGTAAACATTTCAGCAACATAATTGATCTGTAAATTTCTGGAGCATTAGAATATCGTTCTCACTTTTTCCCGTTCCTAGTAACGCACTCCAAAGTCCAGTTTCTTTTCCATCAGCAAACACTCTGTTCATAATAGCGAGAACTGAGGACGGCTCATGCCAATGCCCAATTACAAGCTTGACATGTCCACAGATTTCATACACAGACTGTTCACAATAAGATCTACCTCGTTATTTTTCTCTTCTTCCATACCATTTAAATATTCAAACTGCAATAACAGAAAAAACATTATCACTGTATGTTATATAATATGATTGATAGTTTTCGATAGATTACAAATGTAAAGTCAATTTATCTTCATTAAATTCATGATCTATCTGTTCATCTATATAGCTTCCTTGTTTTCCTTTATCAAATTTTCTACAAATTTAATAAACAGTACATGTATTGGTAAATATGATTTTATTTAGTCTTCAAATTCATTACTATAAAAAATAATTAATTAATTTGATTAAAAACTAAAACTTACCAGTTCATTCTCACCATTCAGAACTTTCTGTTCTTCGGTAAGATTTCTGTATGAGTTCATCTTCATCAAAATTTACATCGTAATCGTAAGATTAGAAGTCAACTTGATGTAGTTGGAAATCTGATGTTCTGACATGACTTCAATCTAAGGTCTATATCTATAATGATAAGTCAATGTGTAGTGGTTGCTTCTTATTTCTTTCACATCATAAGCCACCGTCACCATATTTCAGTCACTGATTACTCTGAACCAATGGAAGTGGTCTTTTCTTAATGTACTTATCAATCAATATCACCTTACTTATACAAACTATACAAAAAAGCTAATCAACTTCCTTTCATATACTGACACCACTGTCTACACTTTTGACAATCTTATTGTTTCAATTTTATTGAATACCTGACACACATTTGTTTAACCATGGAGGAATTAGTTTAGGACTCCATGGTTTAACAATCCCTAATAAGTCACTTAATCCCCTTTGTTTCAATTTTAACACCCCTATTGTTTTTTTTTTATGTGTGATGTCAATTTCTATAGTGCCCTAGAGAAAATCTGCTTTTTTTCTCTTTACAAAGAGAGGTTTGAAGAGGGTAGGCCTACTTGAAAAGGGTACGATTAAATTTGTTCTTATTGTGCCTTGTCCCCCTTGCAAGAGGCATGGTATAAATTCCTGTATTATTATTTAAATTATAATGGTTTTCTCATCATAAAATGTTATCATCAAAATCCCATATTGTTCATTAATTCCCTCATTAAGGCTTTTGCCAGGCCTTTGGCTGAATCTCCTACCAATCAGAGACCCTAAAACACAAAAAACATGATTCTGCATATGATGCAATATTGTTTTTACAATACAATATTTTTACAAATTGTCAGCGTGAAACTACATACTTTTTTTTCAAGCTTCTGTATGAACTAATAGGACTACAGTACAGTACATACAAAATCTGAACTTTAAATGGAACTTGTTAGATAATAAGAATGAATTTAAAAACAAGAGTCAGTATGAACAACTACATTAAATTGCATTTATACTTGTGTGAATAATAATGTCGCTATTATATAGGGCTTCATGCACAATGCTTCTAAGCGCTTCACATTAAGGAACGCATACTCAACAACAAATTAAATTATTAAATCATAAATTACCTTGTTATTCCATAATAATATATATATATATTTATTTATAGTGTGAAGTGAATAGACTTAAATTTGTTGTCAAACCTCAGAGGAATTTCTAATAGTGGAAGCCAATTATTGATAATTTTGAGAAACTATTCCAACTTAACATCACTTTCCTGCTAAATACAGACTATTTCCAATTACAAAATTTATGCTATTTTTCAAAACAAAAGTCGCAAAGGTGAATATATATTTTGCCAAGACTGGGAAGGGAATATAAAGTCTGGTCTACCACCTTTGAATTTCTTGGCAATACAAAATAGTTTCTCTTCACTTCACCCATTACTTGGGTAAACAATGTCATTTTAATACAGGCATTGGCACATTGGCAGTGTAAATTATTAGCTAGGCCGACATATATCATTCATTGTGGATACAAATTAACTGCTACCCTAAAATATGATAAAATAAAAATAAAACAGATTATGACAATTTTTTAAAAATTGACAGGATAAAAGCTGACTTATTGCTGAAGATTTGGAGACATGGAACTGTGGTTGTTAGCAAAATATTCCCTGAGGAATTTTGCTAAATTTTTGGTGAATCCCTTACAGGCTTTTCCCCTTTATAATTCAACTGATACTGAACATAGCCACATACAAATACAATAGAGTAACTGTACCATAGATGCATATGACAACACAGTACTGTACCCAGAGGTGACGGGACTAGGGGGTGCTGTGTTATGGAGAGTAATGTGTGACCGGAAATGGTCTGCAGTCAGTTGGTTGTTACCATGCGCCAGTGATCTTGGAGTATATAGTACAGCATGTAGGCCTAACGAATGAATAAAGTTCAGAAACAAAGTTCTATAGACTTGAATTTGTTGCCAAACCTCAGAGGAATTCCTAATAGAGGAAGCCAATTTTACTGCTAATGTTGAGAAGATTATTCCAAATTAACATCAATTTCCTGTTAAATATGGATTATTTCCAATTATAGAATTTATGCTATTTTCACTAAAGTCACAAGGTGAATTAATTGTTGCCAAGAGTGGGGAGAGAAGGTTGGGTCTGGCCACTTGCTTGCATTTCTTGCCAATGCATGTTATCAATTGTTCTCTTCACTTCAACCAGGTGTATTTGACCCACTGGGGAACAATTTGATGTGTATATATAGGCCTACATTGGCAGTATGAACTATTATGTTGACATATTATTCACTGTGGATACAAATCTACTACCCTAAAAAAAAAACTAAAAAAAAACTATAAAAAAAACTGACAATTTTTAAATAATTGACTGGATAAAATCTGACTTATTGCTGAAGTTTTGGAGACATGGAACTGTGGTTGTTATTCCTCAGGGAATATTCTGCTAAACTTTTGGTGAACCTCTTAACACGCTTTTGCACTTTATAATTTAACTAATACTGAACACAGCCACATAAAGATAAAATAACTGTACCACAATCTCAAATTGGGAGAAACCTGTTAAAGAAATTGGTTTGAATTCCCTTATGAATTTGGGATATGGGAGATACCATCCAGCTAGCTAAACTAGTCACAATTTGAGAAAGGTACATTATTGCTGAATAGGGACATTTTGTGTTACGCTGGTTAAGATATGCGGGATGGGGAGGGGTGGG